CATGTTTCCCTCCTCATGCCGGTGGTTCCTGGTCCCCTTGCTGATGCTGTCCCCCGCGACACCCCTCCGCTTCCCCTTGACATCGATGGGTCCCCTGCCTATGCTGTCAGGTCCCTTCTGGACTCCTGACGTCGTGGGGGTCGGCTTCAGTACCTGGTGGACTGGGAGTGATATGGCCTAGAGGAGCGCTGTTGGGTTCCGGCTGCCGACATCCTGGACCCCAACATTGCCCGGGATTTCCATCTCCGCTGACCGGCCCGCTCCTCGCCCTCGGGGCCGTCCTCCTGCAGCTGGAGCCGCGTGTCGGGGGGGTGGTGGGGGGGCCTACTCCCGTTCACCCTCTCTCCGGCGTTCCCTCTCTCCGGCGCTCGACGTCGCCAGTCTACTAACCACCGGTCCTGGCAACCCACATTACGCACACCTGGCAACCATTACGCACACCTGGCAACCATTACGCACACCTGCTCCCCATCGTTATGCACACCTGGCCTTCAGAATTACCTTCATTTCTTCACCTTTTATTTAGCCCTTAGTGGCCTCAGTCTTCAGGCAGTATTGGTTTTGTTCAGTACGCTTCTCCTGTTTAGTTTATCTGCTTATTCTCATTATTAAACTCACCTTCTGCACCTGCTTCTTGACTCCTAGCGTATACATTACAATATGTCTTCCCTGTTAAAATAAAGGTTAAATAAAAACTACATTGTATAGGATACTACAAAATTCTATAGTAAGCACTACACAATCGAGGAATACTAGTGTATAGTATTCTACAGTATACTACAAAATTCTAAAGTAAGCACTACATGATCGAGGGATACTACAGTGTGTAGTAGAGTATTCGACAGTATACTACAAAAGTCTATTTTAAGCACTCCATGATCAAGGAATACTAGTGTGGAGTATAGGATTCTACAGTATACTACAGTTTACTACATAATTATATAGAATTCTATAGTAAGTACTATAGTATTCTATAGTAAACTGTAGTCTTTTTTTTACATGGGTAACCCACCCACACACGTACGTGTACGCATACACTCACACACAGTCAGTTACACACACACAAAACATTCAAAGGTAACACAAAAATGAGTAGTGAGATTGTTTCACTGGAGAGACCAAGAAGAAAAGACCACCTGCCAGGTGTGACATCTCTTTGAAACATATCCTTTTTTATTCAAATTTACAAAAAAGAAAAGGAAAAATACAACAGAATAATAAATACATTTACTTTATTCAGCCATCGTGGAATTTTATCAACATCGTGCAGGAGTGATGAAGTCCCAAAGGGAGAGAACCTGGGGTCGTCTGGTGGCGTTCAAAGTGACCTTCTACCCTCCAGAACACACACATAATATAACCACACACCCCTGAAACACTTCATGTATAGTATGTCAGGACCTGCCATTAAATGCACTGTATTCTCATTTGCATTTAATTGCCTTGGTAAATGGCTTGATAAATCTCCTGACAATCTCATTTTCCTCTCTGACTGAGGTGGGCGAGGAATGGGAAACCCCGGTCCTGGAGTGCCGCAGCGACTGGAGGCGACTGATTCAACTAATCATGCCTTTGATTGGACCAATTTGGTGTTTTGTTTACTTTCCTCCGGAGGTGACATAATCAGTTCAATAAAGTAGTTAAGTGATGGCAGCACTACAAGCCAAGGCCTCACCATCTCCAGATCTAGATCAATCAGCTGGAGCATCACTCTGATTTAGACCAATCAGCACAAGCAGAACACCAGGAGCCAATCGGCACTGGCTAACCATGTTTCGGCGGACACAAGTCATTATTCCACAGTAGATGAGGCACCAATCAGTTCACAATTACGACACACACATATATTACATTATCTATATTTATAGGTGTGAACTACATAGCATATTCCACAGCGTATGTGAGGGTGTTTTACAGGTGTGTGTGGTTATTCCCTGTGAATAGGGTTTGACTAGCCCTGATATGGCTAACCTCTATAGCTCTCAAACTCAACTCTGGACCTCTAAGCCAGTTCCACTGTGTTTTCCATTGTTCCCCTCTAATCAGGGACTAATTTAGACCTGGGACACCAGGTGGGTGCAATTAATTATCAGATAGAACAGAAAACCAGCAGATTCTAGACCTCGTAGGGTAAGAGTTGAATACCCCTGCTCTATAGCCTCCACTATAGTGTCTAGACTATACAATACTATGGAGGCTAGCCATATCAGGGCTGGAGTTTGACCAGCCAAGCCTGGTCAGACCCTGTGTTCCCCAGGGTCCCTCTCCCCTCTCCCCTCCAGTGATTGTGCACTACTACAGTGTTCCTGGCAGGGTCCAGTCCAAGTCATGAGCCCTATTTGAATACATTCAAAACGCATCCCTTCTTCCTCCCATCCTTGAAGTAATGATCACTGATAGGTGAAATGAAGGGTTCCCTCTCATAGCTTTGACTCGTCATAGCTTTAACTCCAAGGAATGGAGAGAGGAAGGGTGAGTTTTTACAAGTATTTAAACAGGACCTTACACAGTGACACAGTGTGAACAGGTCAGGGCTGTTGGGTCTGTGGCTCAGGTATGGGGAAGTGATTGTGGACTCTATGGTGATTGTGTAGACCTTCTCTTTTCACTAGGGGTTTGTCACAATCTGAGCCAATGTTAAGTTAACAGTGCACAACTTTTGGGGATGGCACATAAAGTCTAAGGTGACAGCAGTCTCTATAGGCTGCCTCATGTCCCCATAAAATGTTCCACATAAATTTCTGGGGTGAGCAATAGCTATATATAAATATATTCTTTGGGGTCAGTTCCATTACAGCTCCAGTCAATTCAGGGATTGGGTTGTGACAATGGCATTGGAGAATAGAATACTGCATAGGGCAGTTTTCATGGTCCAGTTAAATGGTTTTCAATGGAAATTGAATTAATGTAAATGCTGGTCTCCAGCTGAAATACGGGCTTAGAAAGCTACCTCACATAACCTTGCATGCAAGGCTGCTAATTCTAGTCAGATACATGGCTGATGAAGAAGAGTACCTCACAAGTAATCTAGTGCGCATGTTCTGTACAACACTTTTTGCCAGGTTACAGAAATAGCAAAAAGGTATTTGAATACTTGGCTTTTCCACAAGAATGTGTGTTTAGCACACAATATTCTGGTCTGTCCTAATGTAAAGTACATGGTGACAGTTTAGTTCAGGTCAGGTAAGTCAAGTCCAGTCTGGTTTAAATATTAATCTAGGTCTAAGTAGTCCCAACAGTGCTCTGTTCGAACGTGACAGTTTTTTTCCACTTTACTTTTTTGACAATGATCTTTACTTTTAACAATGGTATTCACTGATATTTACAAATGCATGTACATACAATAGAACAGTAGTTATTTTCCATAGACATCTTCTTTAAAAAAACAAAAAAACGTTATCTGACATTATTCATGGTCTAGTATTGAATGCCACACAGTATAAAAGTGCATTCCAGCTGAAAACCCAGCTCATTTTTAAACTGACCTCTAACCTTTGACCTTTACGGGCCCCAGTCGTTTCTGTTCGCCGGGTCTGCTGGTTTTCATTCTGACACTCTTCACTGATAAATGGAAGTTATGGATTGGACAGTTACGAGTTTTCAGAGTGTGAATAGGTTGGCGGTTGGTTGAGATTGTTCTCAAATCATGCAGACTTGGTCCTCAAGACATGTTGATTGAATAGATGGAGGTTTTGCATAAAAAATTGTCAAATGTCTCTCCTCTCCTGCCTACATACAGTAAAATAATAGATTTAGAAGAGATTTATATTTCATCATACGTAGATTCAATGCATCTTGTTAATACTTTTGCTTTAGTGATTTACCATCCAATCAATGCCTGATAACACTAATGAGTCTTTAGTATGTGTGGGTCGTTCCATCAATTCGGTGCCTTTTGAGAAGTGTAACTTGGTCAAAATAAACTTGATTTCACCTAATTTGAGCATTTCTTCATTTTAATAAAAAACATGTTTTCCCATCTCAAGAGGTTAAATAAAAAAATGACTATAGTAAGTGCTTCTTAAGTGCCAAATAAAGTAACAGGGTTGACCGTAACAGGATTGACAATTTCCTCTTAATTCAGCCATAAATCCCCTTGTTACAGGGGGAATGGAAGCTTGTTCTGTGCAACAGAGTGTGGCAATTGAATGCAAGCTTCACAAAAAAAACAAGCTTAACAATGTTAAAAAATGTCTAGCCTGTGTTTGTAAACACAACAGCACTGTTGTATCCCTACATTTAGTTTTTCTCACAATGTGTATTTTCCGGTGATACGACTTTTTCGAGGATTTAAATGATTCATAGTTTTCATTTGGAATGAAGTAGTGAGTTGAATTATTCACTTTTCTACCTCTGCGGATGGAATAAATGCAACAGTTTCTGTACAATCATCTCTCTTCCTCTCTCTTTCCTTTGTCTTTCTTCTCTTTCCCTCTGTCTTGTTCATCTTATATCACTTTCTCCTCTGTATGGTACCCTAGTTTTCCATACTCACTTGATTAATGTATTGTCTTGCTTGCACATCATCCAAAAATCATTTGTTTCCAATTTCTCTCTTTCTCTCTCTCTCTCACGTACACACCCCCATCCCGCACACACACAAACAAACAAACAAATTCTCTCACTCTCCTCTTTCTAATTCTATAGGTGTAGAGCTGAATGAAAATCCTGTCTTGGATGTTTAGGTTGTTTTTCTTTGCCCAGACCACTTAACAAATTGTTGCTGCTTTGTGGAGAAACATCATGCACATTGTCTCAGTATCTGTGCTCACACATATCAGCCTTTCACCACTTATTGCTTTAAATTACATCAATCACTCCCTCCCCTGCCCTTGCTTCCCTGGGCTCATTTTTATCTGTCTCTTTTTATTACTCTCCCTCTTCATCTCTCTCTCCTTTAACTTCTCTTCCCATTATTCTAACTCTGCTTGCCTTTTAATCATTCTTCCACCCTTCCCTCATTCTCTCTGCTTTTTTTCTTCTCCCTCTCTGTCTTTCTCCTAATCTCTAGACTGCCCCTCTTTCTGCCCCTCCTCTTTTTCAGCCTCTTTTTTGTTGTTCTCGACCTCTCCCTCCCCATCCTTCTCCTTCTCCTCTTTTTTTTCTTTCTCTCTATCTCGGAACAGCTTGGCTAGCTCCTGAAATTGCGGACCCCACTCCTCCAGTCCTCCTCGCCACTCTTCCTTCTCTGCATCCTTCTCTCCCTCACTCTCCAGCGAGCTGAGGGAGCCTGCACGCGACCCTGTGCCCTCCAGCCCGTACACCTGCACTGAATCATAGGGAGGCTGCGAGGGGTCAAAGGTGACCTGAGCCAGACGAAGGCGGAGGAACTCACCAACCCTGAGGGCCAAGGAGTGACCACCTGGTACTGGACCCCCTCTACCTGCCTCCATCCCTGGGACCCACCCTGCCCCGTAGCCCATGATGCCCCCGTATGCGCCCCTGGCTTGCCCTGGGAAGGGCAGCATCTGGGGGGTCATATCCCTCCTTCCTAAAATGTATGCCCCAATACCCACCCTGTCCCGCCAGTCAGCCATGAACCCTTCTGGGTACATCCTCCCGCAAGAAGTCCCAGTCAGAGATATCCTTCCGCCCTCCCTGTCCGGCCTGGCCACCACAAAGTTGCTGCCAATCTCCAGCCCTCCCCTCCCCAGGCTCCCAGGGTAGTCCTGCCTCTGTCCCACTGCCTCCCCCTGCAGGACACTGGTGTAGTTGCGGGCGGCTGACTGCTGAGACTGGCTGTCTGGGCTGTTTGCCCCAGGGCCTTCTACCTCTACCACCAGAGGAACCTCCTTCAGCTGAGCCGGTGCCGGTGCGTTTGGGGGAGAGGCCTGCACGGGAGGCTCTGCGGCCCGCCATTGGCAGGGTGGCCGAGTCACACACCCAGGCACCACCGTGTCCCTGGCCAACTACGGAGCCAGAGCGGGTCAGGACCAGGCTGTGCTCCCTCTCCCGGGGGAGGGTCTCAGACTGGACCTGCAGGGAACGGGGAGGAGGAGGGTCAGTCCGGGACAGGGGCAGGGAAAGGGAACGGCGCTGTTAAGTGGAAGTAGAAGATAAAGGATAACAAAGATGTGATATTGCGGTTGAGAGGAGAAAGAATTGTAAGGGAACGAATGGAGAGATGAATTGGGGAAATAATTAAAGCAGAAAGCCGGAGAGTAAGTAAAAGGCCAAATGAAAGAAACAGGGAGATAAGGAAGATGAGGGAGAGAAAGGAGACGTCGTGAAGAAAGCAAAAGGCAGAGAGACAGAAGAAGAATAGACAGACAGTGAAAAAGAAACAGAGTTGAGAAGGTAAGAGAAGCAGCAGAGGTTAATTGAGGACTAGAAAGAGCTAACAGTGCACTGTGAGGGGGGGATGAAGAGGGAGGAGAAAATCAAGAGAAAACGTTAAAAAAGGAAAGACAGAAAGCTTCTTAAATCAAAACATTAAAAAAGCATACATATTCATCATAATCTCCCCTCAGAATCCTGTTCAATCAGCAGTGAAATAACCACACCAAATGATAACCCATTCATTTGTTTGTTCGTTCATTTATTCACTGATTGTGATATACAGTGTCTGTCTCTTACCCAGTCAACTGAGTCCTGACTATGGCTCTGCTGCTCACTGCTGTTCTCTGTACAGTTGCTCATAGCTCCTCCCCCTCCGCCTCTCTCCTGGCTGTCATTGGTCCGTGGTGTCCCTTCATCTGAGGTGCTAACCCCGCTCTGTGGGCCTGTTCCGTCTCTGCTCTCTCTGCTGCTCATTTCAGCTGGGCCTATGTACACGGCCCCTGGCTCCAGGGCCCCCACCATTGTCCCCTGATTCTGGATGACCAACGAGTGGTCCGGCTGGCCCCCAGGGAAGCGGTAGGCCAGCTCAGCCAGGCCCGGCTCAAACTGGCCCCCTGGAGTACGTCGGAGAACAGGAAGGGTGTGGCTGCTGTAGCAGAGGCGGCCGTACATTGGCCCTCCAGGGACCGGAGTAGGCCGGGTCCAGGGCTGGGTTCTGGGCCCAGCTGTAATCCCGGGCCTTGTCCTGGACGTGCTGGGAGTAGCGTCTGGGGGACAGAAGATAGGGTGTGACAAGGCTAGACGACATGTTATAGCATGTTACAGCAGTTTTATACAGGAGAAAATACCATTGAGGGTTAACATAACATAGACATATCTCACTCAGCACAATGGATCATGTTTGAGGGGAAGTGGAAGTTAGTGGTGCTCAACAAAGTGTATAATAAAGTGTCATAGTTTTCCTGTTTATTTTTAGATAAGAGGCTGATTAGTTTTGAGGCAATCAATGATCTAAGTGGATCAATAAGTCTTAGAGAGACTCCTGAGAACTATTGAGGACTGGAGTTTTGTCTGCCTGTGTTTCTTCACAGTACAGCTTTCAATTAAACACACACACACACTCACATGTTCCTGCTGTCCAGGGTGCGGTATACCCTGCGTGAGCTGTGGGGGGCGCTCTGGAGCGCTGCGATGTCGAAGGCGGCTGTGTCGGCCTCACCCCCACCCTCGTCGTCATAGGTGATGATGTTCTCCCTCACATCGTCCTCCTCCAGGGGAGACAGAGAGTCCCGCTTCTGACGGCGCAGGGACAGGGACAGGGCACTGACCGCTGGGGGTGGGAGGTGGGGAGGGAGAGAGAGTAAACAAACACAGAAGGGGCAGATTAGAGTGTTGGTATAGCATATCTCTGCCCTGCATGCTAAAATCTGTAATTGGACTTGGAGCCACAGCCAGTCAGACAGAGATACACTGTGTACTGTACTACCCCAGTCACATTGGGACTGGGCCGACCTAGGCATTCAGCAGGTCATTCCCAGTAAAATTCCAATCCAATCTGATCTAAGTTAGGCTTGTGTTTCCCAGAAGTATAACTAACCAACTAATCATCAAGTCTTGATTGGTTGGATCAGATGTGCTAGTGCGCTATAACGAAAGCCTGCAGTGCACACCCTGTGGATCTGGGTCTCTGAAACTAGGTTTGAGTATATTTACCCAGCAGAGTGGCAACACAGGCCAGGATGGCCAGCAGGGCGGCGGTGCTGAGCCCAGGGGACGGAGAGGTGGACTGCTGGGGGACACACACCGTCTCTCTCTCCCACTCCCAGTCTCCCTCCGTCTGCCTCTCCTGCCTCTCCTTCTCCCCAGCCCGGGCCCCTCCTCTCAGGCAGGGGCAGACGGACACGGTGACCGTCCCGGTGGAGGTCAGGCCAGATGTCCCGTCCCTCAGTACCAGGGGGACGTGTAGCGTGAGGGAGGAGGAGTAGGAGCGGGAGAGGGGCTGCAGGGGCGACAGGAGCAACAGGGTGGCGGTGGGGCCTGGAGGAAGAGAGCGAGACAGGGAAAAACAACATGAGAGGGGAAAAAACACACAAGAAACTCAACTGAATTTAACTGAATGAAATTTCTACTATATAATGTTATTCCCACAGCTTCCCTCAGAGGATGTGTCCAAAAGCACTTGGAAAAGATGGATGTACAGTAGAGGCAAAGGTAAACAACAGGGGAAACAAAAGGGGAGGAGGATAAAAGATGTAAACGATGGAGGCACGGAGGCTGTGAGATGGATGGTAGAAGAGATAGGTCGAGACAGAGAGAGAAGAGGGGGGCGAGGAGTGTGTGTGAGAGAGAGGGGGCCAGACAGAGAGAGGGGGAGCGAGACGGGACGTGTGTGTGTGTGTGTGAGAGAAACGTAGAGAAAGAGAGAGACTATACACACCTCCACTGTCCCTGATGCTGAAGTTGAGGGCGACGCTGGACTCTGGAGGGATGCTGAAATAGACAGCGCTGTCATTCCCTCCCTCATCTCTATCAATCGCACGCAACACCTGCACCACCTGAACGGAAGAGATAAGAGAGAGTGTGAGGCCAGACACAGAGGAGGAACGATTGGGAGGGTGAGGGAGGATGGGGGAGGGTGAGGGAGGATGGGGGAGGGTGAGGGAGGAGAGGAGGGGAGAGAGAGACACACAGACAAGAGAAAGAGAAAAGAGATAGATAGCAGCAGAGAGGTAGAAGAGACAGGAGGGGGATATGAGAAAATAATAGAGATAGAGAAAGAGTACTTTGTAACAACGCATTCCGTTAACTACCGCCCACATCCCTGTGCAAGAGTTCAGCATTTACCTAATCAAAACAAACAGACTGCTAGATAAAACCTCTAATACCAAGTAGGAAGTAATTAAAGTATATCTAGCCTTAACAGAGTAGGGAATGACTGGGTTGGCTTTCAGTATACAATCTACTAAGCCTGGGTTCCGACTGTAGAGATGCACTTAAAAAATAAATTATCTTATTAGATCTAGTGAATATTATCTCAGTTTAAACCATTGGGACTCTCTTAAAATACTGCCTGTGGCGAACAGGCAATACAACATACCTCTTTAATGGACTTTAGAGTGCTAGTGCAGTGATTCAGACCAGGAATAAGACGTTAGGAAGTTTCTGAGTTATGCAGTAGCTAGGGCTCTCACTTTGAAAGGGTTTCTACATTATACAACTTTATTTTCTGTTTTAATGGCCTTGTAAAAATGTTTTATTTTCAGATCCATTATATACTGAACAAAAATATAAATGCAACAATTTCAAAGATTTTACTGAGTTACAGTTCATATCAGGAAATCAGTCAATTGAAATAAATAAATCAGGCCCTAATCTATGTATTTCACATGATTGGGAATACAGATATGCATCTGTTGGTCACAGATACCTTAAACAAAGGTAGGGGTGTGGATCAGAAAACCAGTCAGTATCTGGTGTGACCTCCATTTGCCATGCTTAATGGGTGACATATCTGGTGAGTATGCAGGCCATGTAAGAACTGGGACATTTTCAGGTCCCAGGAATTGTGTACAGATCCTTGCGACATGGGGCCGTGCATTATCATGCTGAAACATGATGTGATGGCGATGGATGAATGGCACAACAATGGGCCTCAGGATCTCGTCACGGTATCTCCGTGCATTCAAATTGACATCGATAAAATGCAATTGTGTTTGTTGTCCGTAGCTTATGTCTGCCCAAACCATAACCCCACCGCCACCATGGGGCACTTTGTTCACAACGTTGACATCAGCAAACCGTTCGCCCACACAACGCCATACACGTGGTCTGTGGTTGTGAGGCCGGTCGGATGTACTGCCAAATTCTCTAAAACGCCGTTGGAGGCAGCTTATGGTAGATAAATGAACAGCGCTGCTGGACATCCCTGCAGTCAGCATGCCAATTGCACGCTCCCTCAAAACTTGAGACATCTGTGGCATTGTGTTGTGTGACAAAACTGCACATTTTAGAGTGGCCTTTTATTGTCCCCAGCACAAGGTGCACCTGTGTAATGATCATGCTGTTTAATCAGCTTCTTGATATGCCACACCTGTCAGGTGAATGGATTATCTTGGCAAAGGAGAAATGCTCACTAACAGGGATGTAGATTCACAGATCGTGAGACAGAACAACAAAGACACAGGCACACAAAAGAGGGAATAAACACAAACACAGATAGAATGAACAGATGGACAAAGACAACAAATAATTGGAATAGAGACAACATGGCAACGTGGAAAAAGCAAGACAGAAATAGAGGCAGAAAGAAGGAAGAGAAGCATGGACAAAACGATCGAAGGAATCGACAAGAACATTCAAAGAGTTTTTACACACGCACGCACGCCAGCACACACACAGACACACACAGACACACACAGACACACACACACACACACACACTCTCTCTCTCTCTGAATGACCTGTCCGGTGGCTGATGAGTCACACATGGCTGTTGTGTATTTTCTGTCCAGCTCGGGCGCGTTGTCATTCAGGTCCAGCGTCTCTATGGCAACCACCACTCTGGACACCTGGCTGGGGTTGTCTGGGGGAGAGGAACCAGGGACATCTGTGTCACTACAGAGAGCATTCCATGACCGCAGAGTGGCCAACACATCTCAACTCTGCTGCTCAATCCGCTAGTGTGTCCTCGTGATCTAGCCTGGTTCGAATCTAAAGTAAATATAGCATTTGTCATGTGATGTTTTATAAATCTGGCTGAATCTGGGGGTTATTGCTATATTTTAGGAATTAGCATTGGAATTAGGGCCTCCATTCCTCTCTTTCCACATCAAACGGTCTTTTCAAAGCTCCAGCATCAAACAATGACAATATGCATGTAAGGAGATCTAACATGCATGCAAAGCAGTTACATCAGGGCACAGTTTAAATGGATTGGGACAGAGTCCACACTGCATTCACACACACACACACACACACACACACACACACACATACACACACACCCCATGTTTGGAATGCACCATCACCCATTTTGGGCAGCTAACCATACAGTCTCTTTGGACTGTGTTCACACACTCTGAGCAGTAACACCATGTTATGGATGGAAGCCATAGCTCCACATTGCAGGCAATGAGCTCCCAGTGTAGTGGCAGGCAGTGAGAGCAGAGGAGAGTGGCTGCCTCTGGCCACTGAGAGAAGAGACAGTTAGCAATACTGATACTGCCTCCAACGGTCTGGTTACACTATGGAGCTCATTATTCAACTCTGGCAGCAGCATTACCACTACTGAAGACCCACTGCCACGCTGGCCAGTGGCGCTGCCTAAATAAAGACCAGCACTGTAACCACACTAACCACTACTGTTGGTACTACTGTGTTACCACTAACTGATATGACTTTAAGGGGTTAATTTGGGATTTGTCTTAGCTGGTGGAAAAGGTAGTTTAATTAGGATCTGCTGTCTCCCATCCTAAGGTGGTGGCCCTCCATTGATTCCACCTAATTTCACACCCGGTACTAACATTGCTATAAGCCCTACTACTATCACCATGAATAAAGCATTGGAGCACTTCAGTCCTGCTACTGCTGGTACCACTGGTACTGTGTAGCTAATATAAGCCATCAAGACATATAAAGTAATGCTGCTTAGTGGAGTGTATTGTACTTCAACTCTCTACGGCTTCATTTTCTGAGGGTTTATAGGTGTAATGACTAGGGTGAAAAGGCAGGCTATAGCTAGTCCAGAGTTTATCCTGGTCAGATCAAGTCGTCAGGAAAAACTCCTAGCTCTAAATGATTACATAGTTGTGTCCTCTGACCTCTCTGCGTGGCGATGACGGTGATGTTGTGCCATTGTTCGCGCTCGCGGTCCAGCTCCATGACCGTGGTGATGAGGCCGCTGTCCGGGGTGATACGGAACAGAGCCTCTGGGTCTGACTGGGGATCAATAGAGAACCTGGGAGAGATGGAGGGGGGGGGGGGGGGGGGGACCAAGAGAGAGAGGGGCAGAAGAGAGGGAGAAAGGGGTGGGAAAGAGGGAGAGAGAAAGAGAGAGATGAGAGGATATAAATGGCCAGGGAATTCATATTACAGATTATCGTAGTCGATACGAACTCATTTGAAGTAGATCTGACTTATCTAAATATCTCAATGAACATTCTAACGACCGTTCACAGGCGGATTGGCCGTCTGGCAATTCTGGCAAATGCCAGAAGGACCATCTTTTATTGGGGTGGGCTGGTCCCCAAAAAACGAAAACATTTATACATACAGTACCAGTCAAAAGTTTGGACACACCTACTCATTCAAGGGTTTTTCTTTATTTTTACTATTTTCTACATTGTAGAATAATAGTGAAGACATCAAAACTATGAAATAACACATATGGAATCATGTAGTAACCAAAAAGTGTTAAACAAATCAAAATATATTTTATATTTCAGATTCTTCAAAGTAGCCACCCTTTGCCTTGATGACAGCTTTGCACACTCTTGGCATTCTCTCAACATTCTCTCAACAAGCTTCATGAGGTGCTTTTCCAACAGTCTTGAAGTAGTTCCCACATATGTTGAGCACTTGTTGGCTGCTTTTCCTATCACTCTGCGGTCCAACTCATCCCAAACAATCTCAATTGGGTTGAGGTCGGGTAATTGTGGAGGCCAGGTCATCTGATGCAGCACTCCATCAAACAACCCTTACACAGCCTGGAGGTGTGTTTTGGGTCATTGTCCTGTTGAAAAAAAAATGACTAAGCGCAAACCAGATGGGATGGCCTATCGTTGCAGAATGCTGTGGTAGCCATGCTGGTTAAGTGTGCCTTGAATTCTAAATAAATCACTGACAGTGTCACCAGCAAAGCACTCCCACACTCCATGCTTCACAATGGGAACCACACATGCGGATATCATCCATTCACCTATTCTGCGTCTCACAAAGACACGGCGGTTGGAACCAAAAATCTCAAATTTGGACTTATCAGACCAAAGGACAGATTTCCACCTGTCTAATATCCATTGCTCATGTTTCTTGGCCCAAGCAAGTCTCTTCTTATTGGTGTCCTTTAGTAGTGGTTTATTTGCAGCAATTTGACCATGAAGGCCTGATTCACGCAGTCTCCTCTGAACAGTTGATGTTGAGATTTGTCTGTTATTTGCACTACGTGAAGCATTTATTTGGGCTGCAATCTGAGGTGCAGTTAACTCTAATGAACTTATCCTCTGCAGCAGAGGTAACTCTGGGTCTTCTTTTCCTGTGGTGGTCCTCATGAGATCCAGTTTCATCATAGCGCTTGATGGTTTTTGCAACCGCACTTGGAGAAAATTTTAAAGTTCTTGACATTTTCCGGATTGACTGACCTTCATGTCTTAATGTAATGATGGACTGTCATTTCTCTTTCTCTGCTTATTTGAGCTGTTCTAGCCATAATATGGACTTGGTGTTTTACCAAATTGGGCTATCTTCTGTATACCAACCCTACCTTGTCACAACACAACTGATTGGCTCAAACGCATTAAGAAGGAAAGAAATTCCACAAATTCCACAAATTAACTTTTAACAAGGCACATCTGTTGATTGAAATGCATTCTAGGTGACTACCGCACGAAGCTGGTTGAGAGAATGCCAAGAGTGTGCAAAGCTGTCATCAAGTCAAAGGTGGCTATTTTGAAGAATCTCAAATATAAAATATATTTTGATTTGTTTAACACTTTTTTGGTTACTACATGATTCCATATGTGTTATTTCATAGTTTTGATGTCTTCACTATTATTCTACAATGTAGAAAATAGTAAAAAATTCAGAAAAACCCTTGAATGAGTAGATGTGTCCAAACTTTTGACTGGTACTGTATGTATGAATGTTTTAGTTTTTTGGGGACCAGCCCACCCCAATAAAAGATGGTCCGGCACTTCTGGCATTTGCCATGGGCCTGTTTTTTTAAAATGACTTTTGCACCATTTCTCTGTTATTATAATCATCCATATTGAGCATTTGGCTAACCAGTGGGCAACGGCCGGCCCCCCTACCAAGATGGGCTGGCCCGGTTTTCTGATTGGCTGAGCTCAGGTGGCGCAAATTCACATTCAAAGTCAAACGGATCCCCACCTGTTTTGCTTGTTGCCTGTTTTGCATGTTATTTTGGCATTAATACGTGTCACATATCAGTATGCAAACAATCAAAAAAAAATCATTGAGTTAATAAAGCCGCATACAAACATGGTCTCTTTTTTGCTTTCTTGAGTAATGCAGCTCCAAAACGCAGGTGTTTCAGCCTAGCTCAGTGCTTTCTGTGGTGGTGGGGCAGCCAGCGGAAAATACGGAGCGTAGGGGTTGGTAATGTTCTCTAGTTGCGCCGTGATTGGCTCAGTGTTCTGTCACTCATGGGGACACTATGTCACCGCAAAATATATGGGGAGAGCTTGAAAATTCAAGCCCAAGAAGGCTCAAGGTCATTGGCCACAGATAAAATGACATCAAATCACGTTATATCTACTCATGTCAACATCATACTTTCAAAATCTTAGCTAGCAAGCTAGCAGTCATCATCATGAATCAAGTCGACAATCTACTGGCAAATCATTTTCAATCCTTGTCATACGAAGAGAAATTATGAAGATAAATTATAGATAGAACGTATCGGTGCTCATCGGCCATTGGACATAAACATTACACAAGTTGGAAATCGAAAATTCAACAATGAGTGGTTTGCAAGGAATCAGTGGCTAACTGCAAGCATTGCAAAGCAATCACTAGCCTGCTATTCAGTGGAGTGGGTGTGTGGTCCAAGTCTGGGTTTAAGGGTCTCTTTTCCAAGCTTAAAAGGATAAACATTCAACATTGGCCATGCTGTCAATCCAGCATGACTTCTGCCACGCTCTAAACAACTGGAAACTCGGAACTGGGAAATCGCAGACAGTGAGTTCAAGACAACTGGGAACTCTGACTGGGAAAATACGTTTTGAACGGTCATCCAACTCGGAATTGCAAGTAGGGAACTCAGGCGTCTTTCTAGAGCTCCGACCTGAAGATCACTGACGTCATCATTCGACTTTTTCCGAGTTTTTTCCCGAGTTCCCAGACTTTGATGACAAAGTTTGATGACAAAATTTGCCACAAGAAGGACCGCCGCGCCACCTTCCTGTTCAAGTGAGAACAGCACAACAAGGTGAGTCCAACAATGTATTGTATGCTGCTACATAAATGATGTAATATGTCAGGGAGATATGTATGCTGTAGCTAAGAAAGTAATACTAAGTGTATGTTGTGTAGTAAGCTGTTAGTAGCCCATGTGCCTCACCCTCATTATTTGGTCCCTTTCACCCTCATAACTGTTCTGACTTAGTGGTGCACATGTAGCCTATAGCCTGTTTTAGAGAAATGTCATCATCAAATATTGTAAGAGCTTTCTTTGTCTGCTTATATGCCCCCTTTATTTATCCTACAGTTCTGACTTGGTGTACAGGGAGAATACTGTAAGAACGGCCCATGTTCTGAATTCTGTCGCTGTACATTTCAAAAGTGCTGAACAAATAGTTATATTGACTACGTCCATCCTAGCTCGCTCATTAATGTCTTAATCGAAATTACGGATTGCCTCTTATCCGCTCGTCGTCCCCTTATGCCATAGTTTGTACATTGTCAGTAAAAAACAAATTTGTTTAAGCAAGTCAGCCATATCAGCAATGTTTTTTTAAAGGCAGTAAATGAGGCTGAATGAACTGTTTCGCTGCCAGGCAAGGCCAGGTGTAGCAGTGGTAAGTATTCACTCCATGGTGCTGAAAAGAAAGCTCTGCTGTTGGGACAGCTTTACGTAGGCCCTAACAGTTTGTGGGCACTATTTGTCACCGTTATAGTGCAATTAATGTATTGTTTAGAGTTGTGTTGTGTTGTGTAGTGGCTTTGCTGGCATGCATCTAAAAACATTTTTAGGGAGTTTGCCCCACCAAGATTGACATGCTAAAATCGCCACTGTGTCAGTCACTCAGTCAAAACAGAAAAACGGAAATGTGTTCCCGAAAACGTTAGAGACCAAAAAAGAGCTCTTGAGGCCGACGCTGCTAAATGAGTGAAATTAAACGACTTATTTACTAAAATTTCTGGTTCTGCTGGTCTGAGTGCTCTGTCTGTGAGAAATGACAGATACAGTGGGGAAAAAAGTATTTAGTCAGCCACCAATTGTGCAAGTTCTCCCACTTAAAAAGATGAGAGAGGCCTGTAATTTTCATCATATGTACACGTCAACTATGACAGACAAATTGAGGGAAAAAAATCCAGAAAATCACATTGTAGGATTTTTAATGAATTTATTTGCAAATTATGGTGGAAAATAAGTATTTGGTCACCTACAAACAAGCAAGATTTCTGGCTCTCACAGACCTGTAACTTCTTCTTTAAGAGGCTCCTCTGTCCTCCACTCGTTACCTGTATTAATGGCACCTGTTTGAACTTGTTATCAGTATAAAAGACACCTGTCCACAACCTCAAACAGTCACACTCCAAACTCCACTATGGCCAAGACCAAAGAGCTGTCAAAGGACACCAGAAACAAAATTGTAGACCTGCACCAGGCTGAGAAGACTGAATCTGCAATAGGTAAGCAGCTTGGTTTGAAGAAATCAACTGTGGGAGCAATTATTAGGAAATGGAAGACATACAAGACCACTGATAATCTCCCTCGATCTGGGGCTCCACGCAAGATCTCACCCTGTGGCGTCAAAATGATCACAAGAACGGTGAGCAAAATCCCAGAACCACACGGGGGGACCTAGTGAATGACCTGCAGAGAGCTGGGACCAAAGTAACAAAGCCTACCATCAGTAACACACTACGCCGCCAGGGACTCAAATCCTGCAGTGCCAGACATGTCCCCCTGCTTAAGCCAGTACATGTCCAGGCCCGTCTGAAGTTTGCTAGAGTGCATATGGATGATCCAGAAGAGGATTGGGAGAATGTCATATGGTCAGATGAAACCAAAATAGAACTTTTTGGTAAAAACTCAACTCGTCGTGTTTGGAGGACAAAGAATGCTGAGTTGCATCCAAAGAACACCATACCTACTGTGAAGCATGGGGGTGGAAACATCATGCTTTGGGGCTGTTTTTCTGCAAAGGGACCAGGACGACTGATCCGTGTAAAGGAAAGAATGAATGGGGCCATGTATCGTGAGATTTTGAGTGAAAACCTCATTCCATCAGCAAGGGCATTGAAGATGAAACGTGGCTGGGTCTTTCAGCATGACAATGATCCCAAACACACCGCCCGGGGAACGAAGGAGTGGCTTCGTAAGAAGCATTTCAAGGTCCTGGAGTGGCCTAGCCAGTCTCCAGATCTCAACCCCATAGAAAATCTTTGGAGGGAGTTGAAAGTCTGTGTTGCCCAGTGACAGCCCCAAAACATCACTGCTCTAGAGGAGATCTGCATGGAGGAATGGGCCAAAATACCAGCAACAGTGTGTGAAAACCTTGTGAAGACTTACAGAAAACGTTTGACCTGTGTCATTGCCAACAAAGGGTATATAACAAAGTATTGAGAAACTTTTGTTATTGACCAAATACTTATTTTCCACCATAATTTGCAAATAAATTCATATAAAATCCTACAATGTGATGTTCTGGATTTTTTTTCCTCATTTTGTCTGTCATAGTTGACATGTACCTTTGATGAAAATTACAGGCCTCTCTCATATTTTTAAGTGGGAGAACTTGCACAATTGGTTGCTGACTAAATACTTTTTTCCCCCAATGTAAGCTGCTGTGGTGCAGTCGAGGTAGGAAGAAAACAGAGAAAGAAACACTAACGCACACTGACACAGATCATATAGCCTACTGCTGCCAGTTAGGCCTAATATTTTGGCTGTATATTGTATGGAATATATTTCATACCTACTATAGTAGGCTAATTAGTGAAGGGGGGATTCGGAGGAAAATTTAGACACTAGGCTACCTGCAAAATAGTCTAACAAGCCATTAGATTGGCTTTTATAACACATAGGTAAGGCAATAGCCATCTACTAGACATTTATACAGTGCCTTTTGCTAAACACAAGTCATCATGTATAAAGGTCAATTTGGGCAATACACCCAGGCCAATGGTGATTTTAAAACAGTTATAGAGATTAATGGTTGTGATATGAGAAAACTGAGGATGGATCAACAACATTGTATTTACTCCACAATACTAACCTAAATGACAGAGTGAAAAGATGGAAGCCTGTATAAAACAAAAATATGCATCCCGTTTGCAACAAGGCACTTAAGTAATGCTGCAAAAAATGTGGCAAAGAAATTTACTTTTTGTCCTGAATACAAAGCGTTATGTTTGGGACAAATCCAACACATCACTGAGTACCACTCATCATATTTTCAAGCATGGTGGTGGCTGTATCATGTTATGGGTATGCTTGTCATCGGCAAGGACTAGGACGTTTTTTGGGATAAAAATTAATGGAATACAGCTATAGGCGCGGGCAAAATCCTAGAGGAAAGCCTGGCTCAGTTTGCTTTCCAACAGACACTAGGAATTCACCTTTCAGTAAGACAATAACCTAAAACACATGGCCAAATATACACTGGAGTTGATATCCAAGATGACATTGAATGTTCCTGAGTGGCCTAGTTACAGTTTTTACTTAAATCGGCTTGAATATCTAAGGCAAGACCTGAAAATGACTGTCTAGCAATGAACAACAATCAACTTGACTGAGCTTGAAGAATTTTTAATTGAATAATGGGCAAATATTGTACAATCCAGGTGTGCAAAGCTCTTAGAGACTTACCCAAAAAGAACCACAGCTGTAATCGCTCCCAAAGATGCTTCTACAAAGTATTGACTCAGGGATGTGAATACTTATGTAAATTAAATATTTCTTTATTTCATTTTCAATAAATGTGCTAAATTTATAAAAACATGTTTTCACTCTGTCATTGTGGGGTATTGTGTCCAGATGCGTGAGAAAACAATATAGTTAATCAATGTTGAATTCAGGCTGTAACACAACAAAATGTGGAATAAGTCATTGGGTATGAATACTTTCTGAAGGCACTGCAAACACATAGCTATGTGGGCAGGGGAACACTTGAAATGCACTAATTTTAAATATGTAGTTAGGCTTTTAAGGTATTATATAAGCCAATTGTCACCTATAAGGCATTTATTCAGTGATGTTCTTCTTTGTCTAATATATGTGTTTATTCATTCACAACTAGGATGGGTAACACTTTATTTTAAGGCTCCGTAATAAACCATTTATAAGGTATATATAAATTGTGTGTTCACCATGTATTAATCATTACTCCCAAATTAATAGACCATTTACTAATCTTTAATAAAGTATTTTTGCAGTCCCTAATCTAAAGTGAGTGCTATGTATACTTTATACATACTTTATAAATGTTTTGAGTGACCAGTGTAATTTCTCCCAAAAAGATGGGCATGCCATTGGTAGGCATTCCTGCTGTACCTGGCTCAATATTATATATGTAATAGTAATCAACCCTTAGGATAGGGAGGGACATGTATTACAGCCAGGTACTTATACATGCAATATAAGTCGTAAGGCTTTCATAAGGTACTATGAGCCAATGGTCATCTATTAGGCATTTATTCAGTAATCTTTCTTATTTATCTAATAAGTGTGTTTATTCATTCACAACTAGGATGTTGATGGGCCCAGCACAGGCAGTGTGGTCCCCTGGTCTTCTGGTACCAGTGCTGTGGGAAAGGATGCTAGGCTTAGCAGAGACAGCTCAGAGGTGAGTGCAGTGGAGGTAGGAAAAAAACTAAGAGACACAGATGTACTCCTAGTTCCTTAATATGTTGTCTCTATATGTAATAGCAATTAACACTTTGGAGTGACAGACAGACAGACAGAGATAGACAGAGTGACAGCAGAGAAGATGCAGAGACAGACTGCACAACAGGGAGGCAACAGAGGCCCCTGCTACCGTTCACCACACATTTCCCTATTCCTGCTCTGTGGGAGTCAGACTCAGTAGTATGTGTCAAAAAAAGGGCCAGCACTCACTATATTTACAGTTTTGTTGAATAAGCATTTCTGAGAACATACATATAAAGAACATTTTGCTTTGCACCTTTCTTAGTGTGTGCATGCATGCGCACTGGTGTTTTCTTTGTCTGTCGTCATATCAGTATTCATAATGAGACATAATGTTGCTTTGACACACTTCTTGTTAACCCATTAGATGGAGATAGAGACAATCTGTCTGAGGGAGGAAGATGTCACTTACACTGTGAGCACACACTTATCACCCCCCTCCCTCCCTCCCTCCCATGCACTCCATCACACTCTCCACTCCCATCCTAGTGTTCAGAGGTCCATCTGTGACACCCAGCACACACACTCATCTCTTTCTCTTGCTCACACTTACAGAAAGCACTTATCACAACCACCACCTCCCTTTTTCTGTCTCACTTCCTCATCCTATGCTGCTTTCTCTCTCCATCTCACTCTCTCTCTCTCTCTCCCACTCTCTCTCCCACTCGCTCTCCCACTCGCTCTCTCCCACTCGCTCTCTCCCAATCTCTTCGTCTCTTAGTACAACCTTCTCTTGTCCTGCCCTGCACTCACACTCTTTTTTCAAATTCTAATTATTTCTCTGTAACAATTGCCTTTTGCTACGGTCTAAGCATGAAATTAATTAACTAACCAGTATGGTACAATAGTCAAATACATCATGCATCAAATATGGATCATGCTCATATGTGTGTGTGTGTGAGTGTGAGAGTGTGTGTGTGTGTGTGTGTGGCCAGGCTGTGATCAATGAGGCTTTAAATGATCTGAATCCGACTTCTTTGCAGCTATTGTATATGTGTAACCAATGTTTCCATCTTACTGTTGGGGAATGTGCTAGTGAAAAATGATATCTTTAACCGCACGATGTTGTATAAGAGCCTTCTCTATCCTGCTGGCGTAGCCTATGTGAGGTTTTACTCAATTCTCAACATTTTACATCAAGATTATGTCTTTGTCTGACTACTCATTTAAGATGTATGAAAAAAAATGTATGCACTCACTAACTGTAAGTCGCTCTGGATAAAAGTGTCTGCTAAATGACTCAAATGTAATGTAAATGTAAGATTGCAGACTTAGCTCTGAGCAATTTAGTACTGCTGGAACAGGGTATCTCCTAAATATCTCCACCACTTTGCTCTCTCTCGCCCTCCTTTCTGTCACTCACTCTGTTCATGTCCTTCCTTCCTCTCTTTTTCTCATCTCTCTCCCTCTGCTCTCTGTATGTACAGTGAGGGAAAAAAGTATTTGATCCCCTGCTGATTTTGTACGTTTTCCCACTGACAAAGAAATTATCAGTCTATAATTTTAATGGTAGGTTTATTTGAACAGTGAGAGACAGAATAACAACAAAAAAATCCTGAAAAACGCATGTAAAAAATGTTATAAATTGATTTCCATTTTAATGAGGGAAATAAGTATTTGACCCCCTCTCAATCAAAAAGATTTCTGGCTCCCAGGTGTCTTTTATACAGGTAACGAGCTGAGATTAGGAGCACACTCTTAAAGGGAGCGCTCCTAATCTCAGCCTGTTACCTGTATAAAAGACACATGTCCACAGAAGCAATCAATCAATCAGATTTCAAACTCTCCACCATGGCCAAGACCAAAGAGCTCTCCAAGGATGTCAGGGACAAGATTGTAGACCTACACAAGGCTGGAATGGGCTACAAGACCATCGCCAAGCAGCTTGGTGAGAAGGTGACAACAGTTGGTGCGATTATTCGCAAATGGAAGAAACACAAAATAACTGTCAATCTCCCTCGGCCTGGGGCTCCATGCAAGATCTCACCTTGTAGAGTTGCAATGATCATGAAAACGGTGAGGAATCAGCCCAGAACTACACAGGAGGATCTTGTCAATGATCTCAAGGCAGCTGGGACCATAGTCACCAAGAAAACAATTGGTAACACACTACGCCGTGAAGGACTGAAATCCTGCAGTGCCCGCAAGGTCCCCCTGCTCAAGAAAGCACATATACAGGGCCGTCTGAAGTTTGCCAATGAACATCTGAATGATTCAGAGGTGAACTGGGTGAAAGTGTTGTGGTCAGATGAGACCAAAATCGAGCTCTTTGGCATCAACTCAACTCGCCGTGTTTGGAGGAGGAGGAATGCTGCCTATGACCCCAAGAACACCATCCCCACCGTCAAACATGGAGGTGGAAACATTATGCTTTGGGGGTGTTTTTCTGCTAAGTGGACAGGACAACTATCATCGCATCAAAGGGACGATGGACGGGGCAATGTACCGTCAAATCTTGAGTGAGAACCTCTTTCCCTCAGCCAGGGCATTGAAAATGGGTTGTGGATGGGTATTCCAGCATGACAATGACCCAAAACACACGGCCAAGGCAACAAAGGAGTGGCTCAAGAAGAAGCACATTAAGGTCCTGGAGTGGCCTAGCCAGTCTCCAGACCTTAATCCCATAGAAAATCTGTGGAGGGAGCTGAAGGTTCGAGTTGCCAAACGTCAGCCTCGAAACCTTAATGACTTGGAGAAGATCTGCAAAGAGGAGTGGGACAAAATCCCTCCTGAGATGTGTGCAAACCTGGTGGCCAACTACAAGAAACGTCTGACCTCTGTGATTGCCAACAAGGGTTTTGCCACCAAGTACTAAGTCATGTTTTGCAGAGGGGTCAAATACTTATTTCCCTCATTAAAATGCAAATCAATTTATAACATTTTTGACATGCGTTTTTCTGGATTTTTTTGTTGTTATTCTGTCTCTCACTGTTGAAATAAACCTACCATTAAAATTATAGACTGATCATTTCTTTGTCAGTGGGCAAACGTACAAAATCAGCAGGGGATCAAATACTTTTCCCTCACTGTATACTCATCCCTATATTTTTTTCCTCCTCTCTCTCTCTCGCTCTCTCTCTCCTCATCTCTCTCTCTCATCCATCATCTCGTCGCTCTCCTCTCTCGTCCTTCTCTCAAATCCTCTCTCTCTCTCTCCTCTCTCTCTCTCTCCTCTCTCTCTCTCTTCCTCGTCTCTCTCCTCCTGCATTCCTCTCTCTCGCGGCTCCTCTCTCTCTCCTCTCATCTCCTCGGTCCTCTCTCCTCTCTCTCTCTCGTCGTGGCTCCTCTCTCTCTCTCTCGACTCTCTCGCTCTTTCTCGTCAAGCTCCTCTCATCCTCTCTCTTCAGACTTCTCCTCTCTTCTGTCTCTCTCTCCTCGGCCTCGAGGTTCCTCTCCTCTCTCGTCTCTTGTATCGCTCCTCTCTCTCCTCAGGCTCCTCTCTCTTCCTCTTCTCTGTCTTCTCTCATCTCTCTCTCATCACTCTCTCCTGTCCGTCCTCGGCTCTATTCTTCTCGGTGTGCGGTTCAATCTCAGTCCTCTATCACTGCTTCGGATGGTCACAGTCTCTCAGGGTTCTCATACTCTCTTCCTCTCAGTCTCAGCTCTGCCTGTGCTGCCATGTCGGTCTCAGTTCTCTCTGCTCACGACTAAGATCATGAGATCTGCGGTGCGTGGGATCGCTCACCCCCGCATCGGTTCTTCGGCCCGACGTCTCAATGCATCTCACTCCTCTCTCCGCTCAGTCTTTTACTTCTCCCCTCTAAAATCTCGTCTCTCTCTTCTAGGATCCCCCCAATGCGAGTCAGGTCTCTCTCGCTGAGGGTTCTCGGGGGGATTCTCGCTCTATCAGTCACTCTTCATGTGCCATAGTGCTGGGGTAATCCCGTCTCTCAACTCGATCCGATCTCCCGCCCTGCAAGTCTTACACTCGGTCGGTCTCAGGTCTTTCTCGTTCTTCCCCTCTCTTCTCAAGTGAGAAAACAACACAGATATCCTCGGAGCGCTGCTAGCCGGTGACCAGCCAGCCGTTTAAAGTGAAAGCATATGGAAATAATGGCTAACCAATGGAATTAAAGTGTCCCTAGGTGGAATCACAGACATATGAATAGCAGGTTTACACTGCTCATACCCCCAAAAACATACCTTGAGTGGAATCAGAGAATTTAAATATTGAGGGAAGATGATCGTCTTTTATGATGTAGCATATATTATTTAGCAGACACTTTTATCCAAAGCGACTTACAGTCATGCGTGCATACATTTTATATCATACCCACTATCCTGGCTTTGCAAGTACCATGCTCTACCAACTGAGCTACAGAGGACCATTTCTCATTTAACTCCAAATGTTGCTGAGGATCAGTGTCATAGACCTGTGTAGCATGCAGCTGTGTAGTCAGCACTCTGTGGAACAGACTCAGCTAGGCCTTACTACCCTTTGGCACTTCGAGAGCTTGTGACTATAAGGTTCTATCTGCATTTTTGTCCAATTTAGTTATTGACATAGCCTTGTTCTGTTCAATGTTCTCTACCTATACAGTATTCCTACCCCTTGACTTATTCCACATTGTGTTGTGCTACAGCCTGAATTCAAAATAAAAATAAATAAAAAAGAATTTCGCCCATTTACACACAATACCCCATAATGAGAAAGTGAAAACATGTTTTTAGAAATGTTTGCACATTTATTAAAATGAAAAATGAAATACAGAAATACTCATTTACATAAGTATTCACACCCCTGAGTCAATACTTTGTGGAAGCACCTTTGGCAGTGATTACAGCTGTGAGTTTTTCTGGGTACGTCTCTAAGAGCTTTCCACACCTGGATTGTGCAACATTTGATCTGTCAAATTGGTTGTTGATCATTGCTACACAACCATTTTCAGGTCTTGCCATACATTTTCTGGTAGATTTAAGTCTGTAACTCGGCAACACAGGAACATTCACTGTCTTCTTGGTAAGCAACTCCAGTTTAGATTTGGCCTTGTGTTTTAGATTATTGTTCTGCTGAAAGGGGAATCCATCTCCCAGTGTCTGGTGGAAAGCAGACTGAACCAGGTTTTCCTCTAGTATTACTTTAGTGCCTTGTTGCAAACAAAATGTATGTTTTGGAATATTTTGTACATACTTCTTTCTTTTCACTCTGTCAATTAGGTTAGTATTGTGGAGTAACTACAATGTTGTTGATCCATCCTCAGTTTTCTCATATTACAACCATTAAACTCCATAACTGTTTTAAAATTACCAATGGCCTCATGGTGAAATCTTTGTAGTGACTGGGTGTATAGATACACCATCCAAAGTATAACTAATTACTTCACCATGCTCAAAGGGATATTCAATGTCTGCTTTTATTTTTTATTTTTAGCCATCTACCAATAGGTGCCCTTCTTTGTAAGGCATTGAAAACCTCCCTGGTCTTTGTGGGTGAATCTGTGTTTTAAATTCACTGCTCCACTGAGGGACCTTACTGATAATTGTGTGGGGTACAGAGATGAGGAAGTCATTCAAAAATCATGTTAAACACTATTATTGAACACAGAGTCCATGCAGCTTATGTAACTTGTTAAGCAAATGTTTACTCCTGAACCTATTTAGGCTTGACATAACAAAGGGGTTGAATACTTTTTGACTCAAGACATTTCAGCTTCTCATATTTAATTAATTTGTAAACATTTTTAAAAACATAATTCCACTTTGACATTATGTGATATTGTGTTTAATCCATTTTAAATTCAGGCTGTAACACAACAAAATGTGGAAAACGTCAAGTGGTGTGAATACTAAAGGCACTGTATATACTCTAAATACCCCCAATTCATATTGTTAAGGGTACCATGTCAATTAACTGTATCTGATTACAGCTGTTATATCCACCACTGGGTGGCAGCTTTGCAGAGCAGTAACAAGGAACTACTTGCTTATTTACAGAGAAGAAGCCTTATTGTAAACCTTAGTTCACTTGATGCTTCAGGTACAGTACCAGTCAAAAGTTTGGACACACCTACTCATTCAAGGGGTTATCTATATTTTTACTATTTTCTATATTGTAGAATAATAGTGAAGACATCAAAACTATGAAAAAACACACATGGAATCATGTAGTAACCAAAAAAGTGATAAACAAATCAAAATATATTTTATATTTGAGATTCTTCAAAGTAGCCACCCTTTGCCTTGATGACAGCTTTGCACACTCTTGGCATTCTCTCAACCAGCTTCATGAGGTAGTCACCTGAAATGTATTTCAATTAACAGGTGTGCCTTGTTAAAAGTTAATTTGAGGAATTTATTTCCTTCTTATTGCGTTTGAGCCAATCAGTTTTGTTGTGACAAGGTAGGGGTGGTATACAGAAGATAGCCCTATTTGGTAAAAGACCAAGTCCATATTATGCCTGGAACAGCTCAAATAAGCAAAGAGAAATGACAGTCCATCCTTACTTTAAGACATGATGGTCAGTCAATACGGAACATTTCGAGAACTTTTAAAGTGGGATTGAGATGTTGACCCAGTAGACCTATAATTTGTACCAACACAAAGGTAAGAGAGTGGAAGTGGTGTCATTTAAGCCTTGAGAGATTGGATACCAAAATGTATTTCCCAATTCCAACCACATTCTATTCGTTTCGAACCTTCACTTTTCTCTGCGTTTAGGCCTGTGTGCACAGCGACTAGATCTCATCTCAATCCACTGCCCTCAGAAAATCCCATTTAGAAAACCTCCTGGTGTGCTCATATAAGCCTATAAATGAATAGTTGTCTATTTTCAAATCCCCTGCCACCATTTAGAGGTTGAATTATAGTGACCTATGCCCAGGCAGTTTAGAGAGAGAATCACAACAATGAGTCAGACTGAGACAAAAACTGCTAGTATCCAACAAAATGGCCCCTGAGAAAAGAGAAAAGATGAGAGGAGGAGGATGAGTGAGGGGATGACAAGAGGGGGGAGAGACGAGAGAGAAGAGCGAGAGAGACTCTAGAGATCGGATCCGGATAGTGAGAAGATGAACTCTCTCTCTGCTCGCTTCTAGCTGCGAGGCTCTTCTGCGTCTAGCTCACGACTCTCTGTCTGCGATGCATGCGTCTCCTCTCGTCTCTCCCGCTAGATAGCCGAGCACATCGACACGAGGGGGGTACGCGGGTATAGCGTAGACCGGATTTAGAGAAGTTGAGAGTTTTGCTGTGGCCTTGGGAGACTGACTGTGAATAAGCAGTGATAAGAGACAGACAGTCTTCAGTCTTTACCCAGACTGACTGCTGGAGTGTTAATGACCCAGCTTCCCCTGCACGTCCCTGGCTAACCCTCCACCACCCTCCACCACCTCACCCCACCTCTCCACCCTCTACCACTGCCCATGGGCCTGTCGCTGTCTGTCTCTGACAGATACACACACGTACGCACACACACGTACGCACACACAGACACACACACTCTCTCTCTCCCTGCCCCCCTCTCTGTCATCTGTCACATCACACAGTACTGAACCTCAGTCTTTTAGGAAGGCACCACTTCTTTTAGGAAGACTGTATTCCTTCACACCTTTTTGCTCATTCCACTGAGTGTTAACAGGGGTGGCTGCAAGCCAAGGTCAACAGTGTGTGTGTGTGTGTGTGTGTGTGTGTGTGTGTGTGTGGCCGGGCGCACTTGTGCCTGTGAATGTGTGTGTGCCTGTGTCTGTGCCTGTGTGTGTATTCCAGTGTGGCTGTATGTGTGGCTGTAAGTCTAAGATCAATGGTAAAATGATTCTACCCATAGCTGTGAGAGGACCAACGAGGTCAGGGCAGACTCAGTGGTAGCAGAGATTGTTCCAGCTGGAAATCTTTTCCTCAAGGGCAAAAATATCCTCTCTTTCCACAAAAGTTGTATTTTATTCACAACAGACAAACTGGCCATCGACAGTGAGTGATTCAGTACACACAAACCTCAACACACACACACTTAACACATACAACACGTACCCAAACACAATGCTGTTTTTTTTTAATCGTGGGGGGAGCTTAACGCTAATTTTATGCTTTGTTTATTTTTCTATTAGAGTGGTTTCTTTCATGTTTTCCATTAGTTGCGCGTGGATTCTCTGAAAGGCAAAATCCCTTTTAACCTCCTCAAGTCGTCTTCTCAGCTATACCTACCTACCTAGCCTATCATTCTTATTCTACCCTGTCACAACGACAACCGTATGTTCCCTGAGCCAATATTGAAGAGCGCTAGAGAAGACGGACCTAAAAGTATTTCGAAAAGTTCAATCTCTTCTATTTCTTTCCACAATATCTTTTTGGGGAAGGAGGGAGAGGTGAGACAAAGCTCCATATTGGAAAAATAATTGTAGGTTTTGTTTGGCGTCCTCAGTGCAATGGAGTCGGAATCCGAGGGGAGATAGCAGAGGGAGGTGATAGGAGAGTCGAGTGAAAGGAGCTGGGAATGAGAGGAGAGGGAGGTGATAGGAGAGGGAGGTGATAGTCAGAGGGAGTTGATAGCAGAGGGATGGTGATAGGAAGGGAGGTGAGGGTAGCCAGGGAGGTGATAGCAGAGGGGGGTGAGAGGAGAGGGGAGGTGAGAGGGAGGGAGATGATAGCAGAGGGAGGTGAGAGGAGGGGGGGTGATAGCGAGGGAGTTGATGAGGAGGGAGTGGGGTGGAGGGAGGTGAGGAGGAGAGGTTATGCGAGGGAGGTGAGGGAGAGGGAGGTG